CTAATTTAATGTTGTAATGAGTTTGGTCCTGATTAAGCTAAGCTCCAAAATTAGTTTCGTATAGCATTGTTTTTTTAATGGACATCATTGCTGCAATGGAGAGAATCATTCAATGTTTCTTGATGGTATTTGATCAGGAGGAACTTCAACTAGCTCACTGCTATTTAATCCATTTTAATTCAGTGGGTAACATTACCTGCATTTTAACTCAGAAACTTTGATAGATACTTGGCTTAGATTTTATGGTAATCCTGATCAATAGCCAGAAAAATTTAAGTGGTTATTGAGATATTAAGAAATGATTGAGTTGGTAATTTTTCAATTTCAACCTATCAATTTTATTAGTAAATATAAAATATTTTTTATGCAATTATTATATTTTTTTATGTTTTATTTTCTTTATTAAATTACATGTGTGAAATTACATGGCATAAAAGTTTCTCTATTTGTGAAGACCCTGGTCCATTACCGGACCCCTGTCTTCCAAGGGCATTCCTCCCATTACCGGGATATCCCGCCCTCCACCAAAGGATTTCGGCTGACCTGCGGGGCAAGCCCCCACAGTAGCCTTTACCTCTGTCCCACATCGGGGAAAGAGTCGTCTCCCCACCCCCATATAAGCCGAAGCACCATATGAGAGCAGTACCCAAGTACCACAGTGTGCTACTTGGGTACTGCTCTCATATGGTGCTTCGGCTTATATGGGGGTGGGGAGACGACTCCTTCCCCGATGTGGGACGGAGGTAAAGGCTACTGTGGGGGTTTGACCCACAGGTTAGCCGAAATCCTTTGGTGGAGGGTGGTGATATCCCGGTAATGGGAGGTTAACCCTTGGAAGACAGGGTCCCGGTAATGGGGCAGGGTCTTCACATAAAAGGCGCCTTTTATGTGAAGACCCTGCCCCATTACCGGGACCCTGTCTTCCAAGGGTTAACCTCCCATTACCGGGATATCACCACCCTCCACCAAAGGATTTCGGCTAACCTGTGGGTCAAACCCCCACAGTAGCCTTTACCTCCGTCCCACATCGGGGAAGGAGTCGTCTCCCCACCCCCATATAAGCCGAAGCACAATATGGAAGCAGTACCCAAGTACCACAGTGTGCTACTTGGGTACTGCTTCCATATGGTGCTTCGGCTTATATGGGAGTGGGGAGACGACTCCTTCCCCGATGTGGGACGGAGGTAAAGGCTACTGTGGGGGCGTCCTGCTTTAGCCGAAATCCTTTGGTGGAGGGCGGTAATGCTCTTGGAAGACCTATATCCCGGTAATGGGAGGAGTCTTCACACAAAAGGCGCCTTTTATGTGAAGACCCTGCCCCATTACCGGGACCCTGTCTTCCAAGGGTTAACCTCCCATTACCGGGATATCACCACCCTCCACCAAAGGATTTCGGCTAACCTGTGGGTCAAACCCCCACAGTAGCCTTTACCTCTGTCCCACATCGGGGAAAGAGTCGTCTCCCCACCCCCATATAAGCCGAAGCACCATATGAGAGCAGTACCCAAGTAGCACACTGTGGTACTTGGGTACTGCTCTCATATGGTGCTTCGGCTTATATGGGGGTGGGGAGACGACTCCTTCCCCGATGTGGGACGGAGGTAAAGGCTACTGTGGGGGTTTGACCCACAGGTTAGCCGAAATCCTTTGGTGGAGGGTGGTGATATCCCGGTAATGGGAGGTTAACCCTTGGAAGACAGGATCCCGGTAATGGGGCAGGGTCTTCACACTATTACAAATATTCAAGTTGTATTTTGGATATTTATTGTTTGTGTAATGTTGGAATATGTTATACTACATTATATTGTGTTAGATTATTTAGAATGTTGTTGGATTATTTAAAATGTTAGATTTATTTAGAATTTTGGATTATGTTGGTTTAAACTTAAACTTAAGCTTGAGCTTAGATTTGGACTTGGGCTTGGGCGGGTACGGGGGAAGTGGGAAGTGGGAACGAGGACGGGGATTAGAAATTTACCCACGAACGGGGATGGAGGTGAAAACTATGTCCATTAACGGGGGTGGATCGAGGATGGACGAAATTTTTTTAAGCGAGTACAAAAATAGAGATTACATCCCCCGGCCCCCACTTCGATCCACTGACATCCCTAAATGCAGTACATCACTTAAACAAAATTATTTGGATGTCCAATTGGGAGAACATTTTTAGTGATATTTAGATTCTCAAAGAATGTATGTATAATATTTCAAATGTGAGGAGTATAAGTGATTAAGTGACAAGTATAAGGGATCTAGATGTAATTTTTTCATTTAGTTTTACACGGCAAAATGATGGCTGTTAATTTCATGTGCACATTGATACAAATTTATATTTTTGAGGATACAAATTAAAATTTTTGATATTTAAGAATATAAATTAAAATTCGAATAATTTTTCAAGGTACAATTTGAGATTAACCCAAATCAAAATCATACTCAAATCCTTTTAAAAAAAATTCCCTATGTTGTCCCAAGACCCATACTTTTGTCAGTTTGTGTTGAAATGTGCATTATGTTGTTTCGCGGGAAGGAACAAATCTGTAGCTTCTATGAGAAGGAGATCAGATCTACAGCTTTCAAACAATTCTGGTTCACAGTGAAAATGAGCAGATCTGCAGCGAAGAGGAGTAGATTTGCAGCTTCCATTGAAGGAGATCAGATCGACGGTGACACATGCGTGGAAGCCTGCTTCGCTGAACATATAGAGAAGAAGAGGGCTTTTTTGGCTCAAAATTTTGGGTAAAAGATTTGGTTATCCCTTAATTTTAGTCAAGAAAATAGTTTTCTATAACTTTGAGTCAAAGATTAGAGAGTATTTTCAAGAGTTTTTTTTTTTTTTACCTAATTTTAAATTTGGGTGTTTGGTTTTAAATAAAGAGCGGAGATGATATAATACAACTAAATCTGAAATCAAAATTAAATATCATTTTGAAATGAGTAATGCTACATAATTCGAATAGAACTTAAAAAATTACAATTCAAATACATATTATTTTTTGGATGAATGAGCCTCATCAATTTTTTTGGTGGGACTCACTCATCCAAAAAATTATATGTATGTAAATTATAATTTTAAAATTTTACTTAAGTTGTGTAACATTTTCCTATTGAAAGAGTAATGTGATGGTGGTGCAAGAGAGAGTTGTGATGGTGGAACAACTAGGGGCTGTCTGGTAAGAGGTTATGGGGCATGGTAAGATGGGTTTAAAAAAAATAGTTCAAAGGATTCACAAACCTCATATTTGGATTGAAAATTCAATCNAGTTTAAAAAAAATAGTTCAAAGGATTCACAAACCTCATATTTGGATTGAAAATTCAATCTTGAGTTCTCAAATTCGGTCCGTAGCTGACTTTAATATTAAATTTATGATCATATATTTCGTCAAACTTAAGGGGTAAGTTTGAGAAGATGGGTTGAAGATGTCAAAAGACAATTGTATCCCTCGATATGTGTATGAATTAGATTGATCAAAGTTAAAATAGTCATTTATAGGAAAAATAGCTATTAATAATTATAATATATCTGTAGGTCTTACATGCATATGTGTTGCATATCAAATATGATAATGAATTAAATTCAAATACCAAAAGAAATTTGAGTTTGGAATAATTAAGAAAGGCAATCTAAACCTTTCCTAAAAATCCATCAAAACAAGTCCGAGATAATGAAGTTGGTAGGTTGTGGCCACTAGAAGCTACAGAAGGTGAAGATGATTGAGCTGGAAAAAGAAATAAGATTAATTAGGTAACATACCTTAGGGAAGACATAGAGAGGAATGAGGAGAATTTTTCAGAGGATTTTTTTTTTGGGGGGTGGGAGATGATAGTCATAAATTTAAAGGGTAAAAGTGCATAAAATAAGTTGTTTAGGCGAGGCTATTCAATTAAATCGAGCTGGGTCAAGTTTGTCAAGTTGAAATGCATATTATTTGAATTTAGTTCGTATAGAAAATCAATAATTTATTTTATAAAACAAATAAATTTTAATGAGTTAAAAATAGATCAATCTTAAATTGAGCTTAGATAATCAATTCGTTTAATAGCTAGAAGTGATGACATTGAACTACATCTACTTCATTTGAAACATTATCTTAAAATTTCAAAATTAGTTAACAATATTCAAAATGATATTATTATTTTTATAGCTCAAAAATGTGTGCTAGTGGGCCCCAAATAAAAAAAAATTAATTCAATTTTTCCCTAATTTGGTTGTTATAGCCAAGCATACCAAGCAAAGAAAACTTAATTAGGCCATCAAGATTATTATGGTAATATCATCATTAAGATTGGGTAACAAGTTTTATCATATAGTAGAAAAGGCCCTTTTATGATAAGGATGCAGGGCAATTTAGTCATATTGAATTTGTTGAGTGGGACTCCAAAATATCCAGGTAAGCGCTCTCTCTCTCTCTCTCACACACACACACACACAAACGCAAAACAAATTGGCAGTCGCTTTCTCATTTTTACTCTTCTTGCAGTTACCAGTCAGTCGGTCAGTCAGAGCTGAGCTGCCTTTAGAAAGAAAAAAGGCTAAACATGCTCCGTCCCCTCATTACTTCCTTCTCATTCAAACCCCCATATCACTCCTTTATGCTCCTCCTCCTCCTCCTCCTCCTCCTCCACCTCCAAATACCCCCACTCAATTTTGCTGATCTTCTAAATCCCATTTTCAATTCATCCCACTCTCAAAACTATCATTACATCCATGTCTCTCTGTTTCTCAATCTCTCTCCAAATTCCACTACCATTCTTTCTCTGACTATGTAGAGCAAATCATATTCCATCAAATTTAGCAAAGATTCGATATTTTCATCAAACAATGAATCTTGTACAGACCCATCTCTTGATTCCGCTTCTACTATTCATATTTCATCTACTACTTACCCTCTGTTCTTCATACCCAACTCCTCTGAATTGTACGGACACCTCTCGATTGTGTACATCATTCTTGGGCTTCAAACCCAATTCAAACCAGACCCTATCTGTACTTCAAAGCATGTTTGATGTCTTACCCGAAGATATAACCGTCGAGGGCAATGACAGAGGCTATGTTTTTATCCGAAAGAACTGTTCCTGTGCTTCAACAATCCACAAGTATTTGACAAACACTACGTTCACTGTGAGAGAGAATGGTGGATCTGTGTACGATATGGTGATCAATGCCTATGGTGGGTTGGCCTTTTTGTCGAATTCGAATCGGGAAGCGAGGGTAGGGGGTGTGGTGTCGTTGAGGTTGTTTTGTGGTTGTTCGAGTGGGCTGTGGAATTATTTCTTGAGTTATGTGATGAGTGATGGGGATAGTGTCCAGTCCTTGGCGAGTAGGTTTGGGGTGAGTATGGACAGTATTGAGACGGTGAATGGGATTAGCAATCCTGATAATGTCTCTGTTGGTGCACTATACTATATACCACTCAATTCAGGTATATTCTTTAGTTTTTTGCTATTTATTTGTTTGTATTGATCTTATTGGTTAAAAATAATGGTTTTTGGTTGGATTATCTTTTGTTTGGTTTGGTGAAGTAGAATTGGGTTTTGACTTTGGGGTTTAGAGTTGGTGAAATAGTTCATCGAGTAAATTTCAATTATGGTTTTCTGGGTCATCTTCATGTAAGATGATAGTGACCGGTGCCAATGATCATTGCATAGAAATATGTGTTATGTGCCAAGTAAATGGAACTGCCAGGAAAAAGTTATTATGTTGCTGAAATTTTATGTTTGGTTATCTGTTAAAGGGGTGTTTCATGTGGAGATTTGGTGGGCAGAAAGAAGGACTCTTTAATTCAGTGCAAAGGGTGTCATATTTTTGAAGAAATTGGGGAAATCTTGAATATCTTACAAAAAATTCAACTAGATAAGAAATAAAGAAATAAGCATAATCAAGGCCAAGGACACAGTGTTATATTTCATTTAGGGCCAAGATAAAAGACATGCCATAGTTTGGGTGTGGGCATTGAAGTTTCTGTAAAGATTATAGTCTGATGTTCAAGCTTGTTAGGACTGGTCTTTGTTTTAAGGCCAAACTTTTGAAGTGGATAATATTATGGGATTAAAAGAGTAAAGGAAAGGAATAGTTTTTTTTTCTTAATTATGCCAATATTAACTTTTTGAGGCGCTTCACTAATTTTTTTCATGAGCATTAGAGTTACATAAGAGGAGGAAACCAATGGGAAATTCCAAATAGGCTTTGATGAGGCAAAAGTGCTACATATGCAAACAACTTTCACAAGTAATAACTCGAAAGTAGTGCAAGAGAGAAAAAATTGAGATTCTCATTTAAAATGGGGAACTTCTCCATTATGAGTAATCCACAGAAAGGAAGGCTCTATCTTCTCACTACTTTGTTAGGATTGTGGTGTCGGTGAAGCTGTGGCATTTTTCTTCTTTCCACCACCATCTGCCCTGTGCAAAAATTCCATAATGTTAGGTAAATTCAAAGAAATTTGAACATTCTGAAGAATCCATAGCTAGTCATAACATTTGCAATTTGATACATTTAGATTTTTAAAAAAAACGAGGATTTATATTGGCTTATGGTTACCAAAGACTCCATAGTGTAGGACGGGAGTGCTATCAAGCAATTAGTTGCATATTTTTTCAGTTGTTATATTAAGATGAATAAAAATTCAGTTTTCATTTGTTGGGTTCACATTTAACAGGTGAATTTGGCCTTAGGAATATTGTCATCAGTTAACTTTTTTATTGAGTGCTCATGTTTTGCGCTAGACTTATTGACTTTTTTAAAAGTGCAGATGCACAGTTAGATGTCCCTCCCTCTATGCTAACTTTGTAATTTTTTTTTTCATTTGTGTATTTTGTTATAGTTCCTGGAGAGCCTTATCCTATAGAGAATGATGTTGCTCCATCTCCTCCTCCAGAACCACCTGTTGACAACATAGCAGGTAATCATTGTGTTCAAAGTGTTGAACTATTACGCACATTTTGGGGCCAAATGCCACTATAGTTTTCTCTAGTTTTCCTATTAAGCGCAAATTTAGGTGCCATGTCAATGCTCTATAGTGGGTTTAAATTCCTCCATTTGGTATCAATACCTACGATGTCATGCTAGAGTACCTTCTCTTCTGTTACAGGAAATGTAATAACTGATCATTTATTTTTTCTTTTGGTAGTAAATCAGGTGAATCACAAGGCTCACGTCCCTTACAGATGGATCTTTGGGGGTTTAGGAGTTGGGCTGGCTCTGATTATTATAGTTGTACTCATTTTTGTTTCCTTGAGGTCATCAACCCACTTCACTGAAGCCCTTGGAGGTCATGGAAAAGATTCAGATGATAAGAGTTCTCAGAAGTTCCATATTCTTCGAAACACAAGTTTCTGCTGTGCTTCAGGAAGGTATATCTGTTGCAAATCAGGGGATTGGAAACAGTCTAATGGAGAATCTAGTGACCGTCAAATAAACATTCCTAAAGGTTTGATTTTCAATCCTACTGGATTCCAAGTTTTGTTTATTCCAATTATTATCTAAAACTAACTAGAACAGCCTGTGGCAAGGAAATATGTAACTTGATTTAAGCTTCAATTCTAGGAATGTACAGGTTGAGTTTTTGTACATGCTGAGGGATGAAGATTTAAAATCAATTTCCATAACTGAATATATTAATAACAAAATATATTCGTGGGCATATGCTTTTATGGACTTTCTAGACTACTTGATGGATCTGATTTTTTTAAGTGCCTCTTTCTAAAGCCATTTTAAGGAATTACTTTATCTTACAATGTCAGCTTAAGTTCCTCTTAAAAGAAATTCATATGAAGATGGAGGAGGACGATACATATATACCGTACTTGTGTGACTGTTCCTTGTTGTGCAATTCAGAGAATGTCATTAGGGATATTGTCAACATGTCATCCTAGGTCTTGGGTCATTGTTTATGTGGAGGAGGAGGGGAGTACATTTAGGGTGCACAAATATGGAAGCAAGCGATTTAGAGTCGAATCAAATTTGTTGCACAATATTTTATAAATAACAAAACTAAGGTCGATTTTTTGAAAATTAAGTAGGATTTGGTTGGAATAGAGGATGCGTGTTCTTCATGTTTAAAAACCCAACATGAATATGATTCAAGATTTATTGTGCATGACATAAACCAGTGTTTTACTCTCTCTCTCTGTCTCAGGAGTTAACAGTTCCATTGGTATCTTGATATGCTTTTGTATCATAAATAAAATTAATGTCGTCAATCTCCTAATTTTCACATAAAAGATTTTTTTTTCTCTCTCTCTTTCTTTTTGTGCCAACTCTATGTTACACTGGTTAAAGGATCAAGATTGTTTTTATGTTTTACTTCATGATAAGTTTTATTTATGTATTATGTCTCCTTGGCTTCCCAGGAGCAACCTTTATCTTTTCAAAAGTTGCTTTACTGAGGAATTGCTACTGTTTCGTATGATGGAACTTAAAGCATCCTTTCCCTACCAATTAGACTTATCAGTCAGAGAATTTTGTATTTGTATTATGTCCTGCAGTTATAGGGACTGATGTCTTTGATGTGGAGAAGCCGGTGGTTTTCACATATGAAGAGATGCTATCTTCTACAGATGGTTTCTCTGACTCCAATCTTCTTGGCAATGGAACATATGGCTCTGTGTATTATGGCCTCCTTCGCGACCAGGTTTGCAGCTGTCTATTTTGCTGCTAATAATCAGTTACAATTCTACATATATGAAGAAATTTTCCTGGTCATACTGTTACTGGTATATAGTTATAAATGTTTCAGGAAGTTGCAATCAAAAGAATGACTGCCACAAAAACTAAAGAGTTTTTGGCAGAGATGAAAGTTCTCTGCAAGGTGCATCATACAAATTTGGTAATATTTGTTTCCCTTTAAATCGGCACCTTCTAACCCTTT